CCCGCAATGCCTCCCAACGGTTATGCGTTCCCACCGATGATGCCTCATCCTCCATCGGCCAACGGCGGTGTTTCCCCTTCTAGCCCAACCTCCGCAACGCCTATGCAAATGCCCCCCTACGCTTCTCCTTATGGAATGTGGTATCCGGCTCCCCCCGGAATGGCAATGCAGGCCCCCCCAGGCGTAATGGCAACTACTGGAATGCCTCCCATGATTCCAATGGGACATTTCCCTCCGCATGGTGCCATGTACCCACCTCCTCCGCAACAGCAAACTATCGGGGATGCACAAAACCCTGGTGAAGTTGCTAGTCAGCAACAACAGCAACAGCAGCAACAGCAACAGCAGCAACCCCACCCCGTTCAAAATGGAGAGCAAGCAAACGGTGCAGGCTGGACACCCGGACCCGGTGGTCTCCCTCCAAAGGAGGTTGCCCAGACAATTCTCTGCCGGTAAGTGGGCCATGTTCGGCATGAATATTTCTTACAAGGCGATTTCCACTGAATATTCAAATAGGTATTACCCTGATTGTAGATTTGGCTCTTCGTGTTGGTTTATGCATCCAGGAGCTGAGTCGAATAAGCAGCCACAGCCAAATGGTAACCAGCAAGAGGGCCAGTCATCTGGTGCCTATCTTTCCAATCCGTTACCACCCCCTGTCCAATATAGATCTTCTGGTCCTTGGGACCCATCAGCTGCCCCAGTCAACAATGGTACCGATGCAAACAAAGGGCCCTATCCAACTCCGGTACCCGGACCTCATCCAGCTGGGTATGGTTTGATGTATGCGCCATATCCATTCGTGAATGGATATCCTCCCATGTATCCCCCATCTCATCCACAGCAGCCCACAGCAACTGCTGCTAATCCACAGAGCCCATCACAGCCACCACGGCAAATGTCTCCACACGGGGATCAGCAAAACGCGCAACAACAGGCAGCGTCTCCACACCCTCATTCCTCAGCTGTTCCTTCTCCGACCGTCGGCAACCCACCAGGCATGTTCCCTGTGAATGGAGCACCAGGTGCTTGGTATCCTGCTTCGCCTGGATCCTTCCCCCCCAATATGCAACAACAACCAATGCCTCCGACACTCCAGACGATGTCTTCGCCACAGGTACCGCCAGGTATGATTTCGTCGCCCATCAGCCCTGTCAGTCCCGGACAACCAAACGGCCAACCAATTCAAACCATGGGCTTACCGTCTCAACCAATTAGCCCTAGTACGTTCAATGGACCTCCACAACAACCAGGTATGCCATCTATAACTCAGTTCTATAGCGATT